TACTGCCTCCGTCATCAGGGCAGTATGACCTCCGAAACGTTGGTTAACATCGACCAGACTACACAGCGCAATAACCCAGAAGACGGATATCTACATTATTACTGTTCACACCTAATGTCTGTTAAGCAGCTGTAAACTTCCAGTTCCCCTCCAAATGCCTCAATCTTCATTCTATTCCTTTCTGTTTTCCAGAAATGTCAACAAAAAGTTACACTACAATGTGTTCTCCTCACAAATGTCTACTTAACTGTAGTTCCTTCTACCACCATCAAAGTCTTTACCATTATTAATCACAGGAAGCAAAATAGGGATCCTGTTTCATTGCTGCTTCCATCTAAAAATGTGGACTCCTCCAAGGTGGGCATTTACCACAATGGTCAAGCACAAGCCATAACAACACATACTACTTCTTCTTCTATGGCTCTCCGGTCCGTATTCGGTCCATGGCCTACTCAATTCTCCTCTTCCTCTTTGATTGAGGTTTCGAAACATCTTCCCTTTTACGGTGCAAGGTTGTTAGCCTTGCGACCAACCCCCAACCTGGAGGACCAGGGTACCTGTCTTAGTCTGACCAGTCTTGGGGTCACTGAGGTACTCAAGCCCCACATGACAAGGTGCAGGTACCATTAAGTGGGGTAACAACACATACACACATCAATAATCTATGCTACTACATCTACTGGAGTTTCTTTAATACAGCATAACTTATCTGCTTAACAATACCCTACCTAATCATTTATGCTCAAAGAGAATTGCAGACCCTGCACAGCTGACAAGTTTTTCTAAAGGTATGGACCTGACAGTCATGTTACTTACTTGTCACCAACAATATCTGGGCAATCGCGGAAACAGTCAGTTCCATCCATACCATCCATACACGTGCGTCGGCAAATGTCATAGATATGAGTCTCATCTACTGGCAAGTACGGGCGGATGGTGTAAATCTTGCTGCTTGGAACGTCTGGTGGCTTGTAGATGAACAAGTCATTTCCTGAGTCAACCGGAATCAATCTCTGCACAAAGTCATAAGAGTGTCAGTGCTACAGTTCTCAAAGACCAAGCCAGTAAAAACAATTGTATTTATCACTTCTTCTATTCTTCTTTCACTCACAATTCAGGACATAAAATAAACTCAAAAAATTTCATGTAAAATCATAAATCTGGACAAAACATGCAAAAGTTAACAAAAGACATACAAAGAGCAGGTTCAACAATAACCATACAAAGAGCCGGTTTAACAACAGTTAATAGAAACAAGACATTATTCATTGCAATTATGACAAAGCAAGTTTGTTTCAACAGTAAAAATCTTAACTTTTCAATGTCCTGACCACTGAACCAAACATGATAAATGAAAGGGATTAAATGGCAAGGATAATAAATTCTTTGCTAAATAGTCTATTCTAGTCTATTTCTGTGCTCATATTTCACAATGCGGAACACCTAAACTTTATTGCAATGAACATTTTCACACCATAATTACCATGTTATAATCCCATCATACAAACAAAAATTGCAAAACATAATTTTTTGGGACTACATCTGATCAGAGAAGTAGCTTAAATTTCAAAATAACATGTTCACTATTTGCAAATGGATATATTCATGAACATATATTTTATAAAAGTGTTCAATTAACACACTAATTCACCAACAAATCAGTTTAACATTAATTAATAATATTAATCAGCTGACAGTTCTACAAAAAAAACATAACGTTATCATTTACAGGATGACAAAATTAAAGTGAATCTGAAAAATGTAATGAAAACAAGAGTTTATTATGCTTTGCGCAACAACAGTGTGTGGTATTTTCTTCGCACAGTGCCAAGTGCCCTAATCGCTTCTGCACAAAATTTAAGCTTTAAGTGTCATGCAGCCATTATTTAACCACAATATCAACTGAATGACACACAGCCATTAAACTAGCCAGTTGCACTCCACACTGCCTGTACTCAATATCTGGTTGACATTTTTTTATCAAGACAAATACAGCTGTTCTTACGCCATCTTTTCACTAAGAACATAACCAGAGAGGGCAAATATGCCCAGTATGTTTTCTCCAAAACCAGCCACTAGATTTTGATAAAGTTTACTAGCAGAAATGGGGAATACACTAAAAGTTGTCAAGCAAGTATCATTTTGTTCAATGCTGGGTCCAATATTAAACCAATTTCGAATTTAGAAAAATGTGTACTCCCTGGAACACAAACCAGAGAGGGCAAATATGCCCAGTATGTTTTCTCCAAAACCAGCCACTAGATTTTGATAAAGTTTACTAGCAGAAATGGGGAATACACTAAAAGTTGTCAAGCAAGTATCATTTTGTTCAATGCTGGGTCCAATATTAAACCAATTTCTCTTTCCACTCTTGTTGAGTACAGTAATGAGGGTTCCAAGTTTAGAGATAAACTGCTTGCGTACGCGCTGCATTACCACATACTTGCAGGTCTGCTGTGAGGCCTCCCCTGAAAACCCAAGGTTCCTGTTCTCCACTCATAAATGTCTCCTTCCAGCCCTTGGAGAACCCTAGAGAGTAGCAAGAACCAAACATCCCAAACAAACAAACCACAGATTAGTACAAGCAGACCAAATGCAGCTTCAGAGGATCTAGCACAATTTATAGGGTGTTTAAAAAATGAAACTGATGTTCGTGAAACTGAATTAATGTTTTGCTAGTACAAACTATTACTAGCATTTTTCAATAACAACTCATGTATGTTTGTTGCACTAACAGAAGATCACAAAACCAATAGTTTCTTATTACATGTTCCAACTGAAAGCAATTCATGGCATGAAAAACAATTTTTTTAACACCCTTATGACATACCCACATACAAATAAACTCCACACACTTTGCTGTGGATTTACAGACACTGAATTATATTACCTAGCAATGTCATAGGTCAACTGGGTACAATGTTTTCTTCCGAGGTATATATCAATATGTGAAACTAATTACTAAATCAATGATCGGTCACTCAAACTTGTTACTTTTCACATTCAAGTGATATAAAATGTAAATAAATTTTGGAAGTTCAAGAAGACTGTACTCGTATGTGTAACATACAACACTATTAATGAATGTCCTAATTCAATGACACTGTTTAAAACCATGTGCAAAAACTATTTTCACCAACATTATACACAGGGAATTTATTGTAAATAATGTACCCTCTTGAACTATATGGGCTTTATTTTGAAGCCAGATAATAAGACCCATAACAGGATCAAATTGAAATGAACCAGTAACATGAATTTTATCTTCATAATGCCCTACAAAACTGAACTTAACCCAATAAAACAAAAAGAACAATTACCAACTTATTCAAGAAATGGTTCACTTAATTGAGAACCTGCTATGGGAAAGCACCATGCACCTCAGGAGTCTGGATAGGACATGAGGGGAGGGCGCCCTGTGCGTACAGCCACATGTTTTTCGCAGAGCAGAAGATATAGGGAGCCCACCTTACGCTAAAAACAAACTGGCTAATGAGGCACAATTACGCAATAGCTAGCAGAATAATTACGCAAGAAGCGCAAAATCCTAACAAACCATGATGCAATGCGCAATTATTAAATATCAAACAACCATAGAAACCTCTTCCTTTAGGTAACATTTATTACCATCCAAAAGAGGGAACAAAAACTACAAAACAAGTATGTTTTAAAATCTGAAAAGAAAAATTTAAATATCTCTCACAATACAGATACTGGCCAAATCCAAAGATGGAAACAACTCACCACCTTGAAAACGGAACATAGGGTATATTTTCCAAAAAGCAGGAACTCCAAGCCTAAATATTACAACTTAATTACTTACACTACAGTCTCCTCAAAAGTCAAAATTATAACTGTATAACAAATTAAACATCTTTAGAAGTAGCTTCTCTACTTTCCATTACATTCTAACTACTGCCCTGAATTCCAAGATCTGTATTTTAAAATTTTCCTTCACACTTGGTACATTCTAGAAAGATTTTAATTTTGCCTAATCTTTCCTCAAAATTAATAAAAAGAAATCCATTCTCAAAATAAGCGAGTTCTTTTAATGGAAATGGCCAGTATTTCAGATATTCATATCATTCATTGTTTCTTGGCATTCCTAGAAAAGAAAGTTTCTCTGTTTACTGATTCTTGCCGAATAGGATGGTAGCCTCCACTTTCCTCGGCCTCCCGAGGTTTGTCATGGCTAGTTGGTCACAGAGTCTCAAACAGCTGTTATAACGCAAAGCGCAGCGCACATGTGGCTTTGACCCTACCAAATACAAAATAGCCCCAAAATCCATTGGCTATAGCACAATATTTATTCCATGTAATGTTCATAGCTTATGGCCAAAGTAAATAGCTAATTTCTTCAATACTAAGAAATATAAGGAACAACAACAGGACAAAACTATCAAGATAAAAACTGTGGCAAGCAAAAGGGCCTGCACCTTATCACTGACTGTGAACCATGTCTGAGTCCTGGTATATCTGACATTCATATAGTTTTGAGTTATTCATAGTTGATCAAAATGCCATAGACGAGACCCAACAGGTTACAAAGTCACGTTCTTCTGTTTTTTAGAAACTAAGATAGCTTACATACATGATTAACTTGTAATTTGTTGAAATGTTTATATTTTTGCAAGATTTTGTTAATATGATGATAATAAACACCTAAGGTATATTTTTGCAAGATTTTGTTAATATGATAATAAACACCTAAGGTGTTTCAATATACAGACTTAAAACATACACATAAAACCTGATAATAAAAAATGACACGGAAGTCAACCTCCTCATGCTAAGCACACATTTAGAAGGATTGTAATTTCACATAACTAAGCCAGGTTTCTTATTCAATTACTAGACAATGGAATAAATGTTACTACTGCCAATGGATATGGAAGTAACAAAATTTGTTTCATGTTCATGAAAACTAAAGAATCATGGCGGCAAAATCTCAATGCCGCTTTACACAAGAAAGTTACGGTTGGCATTACTGTGGTGATGCGTACATGTGTAGCTGCCAAGCGTGAAGGTTGCCATCACGTGCGGGTACTGGCCACTCGCTGCAGGAGAACACACAGAGAGAGCAAGAAGAAAAAAAAAACAATGCCATTAGACCTCACCTACACTGCTGCTCACACACAAAACTGCAACCTTGGGAACCTTTCAATGTCATGTAACCCTACAACTATAAGTGATATACAGAACACAAAGAAACTTAACACGGAATTCACCCTCTAAGAAAATTACATTAACTATGATGCATCCAGCATTAAAAACAGACTGATGTCCTCTTCCAACAGTGTCAACACCCATACAAACCTACAACTTCCAATTTTTTCTTCCATTTTGTAATGCAGTTACATTTAAGCAATAAGACAGTATTAAAAGCAATTCAAAGCTTACTCTTGCAGCCAAATACATTAAAATTTGCTTTAATACAAATATATTACATTTTTAGATAGACTAACAGAGCCTTGCTAGCTAAATGTAGCAACCACCCCACTGTTGCTCTCTTCAAATTTTGGACCCTAGTTATATTATGTACAAAATATAATGGCACATTGAAATTTCTGACATAAAAAAACATGCATGCACACACATTCATGTGTGGAAGTTTGATAATTTAAAGCAAGAGCAGGTTATAAAAGATTCATATTTGTATGTTTTACGGCTGCTGAACAAAAAAGTAATTCCTTGCATTACTGTAAAAATGGCAAATTGTCACAATACTAAAACATTAAAATTGATAATAGTTATGAATATACAGACAGTATGTATCCATTTTCTTCAATCAGGGTTTCACAGTGTAATCTAGGGATGCATAATAATTACATGGAAAGCACAGTTTGTCATTCCAAATACATGCTGATGAGCAATTTCATATTCAGGATATCAAAAAATATTGTCCAAAGCAAAGTAAAGCTGTTCCACTATACACCATGTAGGTGCTTGGGGAGGCTTATAGCTCCTACTCATTCTTAACCACAGCACTAGATGTGGGTGAGTGGTAAGCATCACACCCCAGTTGCACTTTACCCCCTGGGAAAGGACCCTGTTACCCATTGGATAGGAGGCTGGGTGGGCCCCAGAAGAGGAAGAATCCTCAGCCCCAGTTAGGTATCGTCCAAAGCTCACCAAAAATGCAATACATCTGAAAAAATATGTAACTGTTGCCTTGCAAGATCACAGAATATTTTACACAAAATAAATACTTTATATTAAAAATGTCCATACAAAAACCTACAAATTCCCAAAATCCTCTCACAAAACTAAAAACATTACAATTTGGAAAAAAAAAGTGTTTTGCCACATTATATGTAAACTGTACTTTTCATACTCACCGCTGTGAGAACCTCAAGTCTGTACTTTTCAAGTATAACATGTTTAGGGTGCAAGGCAAAATGCAGTCACCACTGATCAAAATGTCTTCAAACTGCACTAAAATTAAATGTGTGTCAATACAAACTGGCTACTGTTGTTTATATAAAGGGCAAAAGTGAACCCCTACCATAATGCACATTTGAATACTGTTGTCATAACAAAAACAGTCTATTCTTAATGTCGGACAGGCCATGACATAGTTCACAGATGTTTAGTAGAGTTAATTACAATTTTCATAATGAAGACATTATTTGAAGATTTCTGTCTTCTGGGTTATTGCGCTGTGTAGTCTGGTCGATGTTAACCAACGTTTCAGAGGTCATACTGCCTCCGTCATCAGGGATATTCATCGCCCTGATGACGGAGGCAGTATGACCTCTGAAACGTTGGTTAACATCGACCAGACTACACAGCGCAATAACCCAGAAGACAGAAATCTTCATATTCACCGCTGTGAGAACCTCAAGTCTTACAAGACATTATTTTTATAAAGATCTATATCCATAGCTATAACCACACATTCCTATCAATAAAATAAGTACAAAGATAATGCATGTGACAGTTTCCCAAGGTTGCTGATTAAAATCATGAAAGAGAAACAAACAAAATAAATTATCAAATTCTTACCCAAGTGAAGATTATCCACTGGATCCCAACCTATTAATAATTGACAATATGCAGTTTTTTAATTTCTCAAATAAAACCCCCAAAAAAGTATATTATACAACACGTAAACCAGATTAACAGTTGAGAAAAAAGGTTAAGATTTCTAAACAGAATTCTCTGCTTGTTATGCAATGCAAAAGAGCAAAAAAGCCAAGACGGTCAGTTCAGTATGTTTACTTATCCAGGTAAAACCAAAATTATCCTGCCTAAATTACAAAAATACAGTGAAAGTCTGCAATTAAAAACCTAGACAAAAATAAATTATCATAGTTACAACAAATTCTCATTATATTCATATTTAAACAATGAAGAAAAATACAAAGACCCAAGAAATAGTACTATGAATTAGTTTCTAAAAACTGTTTACCATACTGCTTCCAAGTTCAAGAACATCGTATGAGTACAAATGTGAATCCAAGGATGGTTAATGACGTAAGTGAATAAACACAATGAAATGAGCTTAGCAGTTAATTTAAACACCCAAACTCTTGTCATTTCAGGTGAACACTTCAAAATATTAAAGTAAAAACCATAATTTTTTTTAAAAAATTGTATTGAATTCTATTCAAGGGTAATTTAAAAAGATTCATATTCTGATTTCATATTATCAATTTGATACACTACATTCTGATGCTATCAAACCAATAAGTTTAGAACACTCTGTATACAATGTGCTTTAGTGTTTTATGACTGGCAAATGACATTTTATTTTACTACATAAAGGATTACACAATGCCTGTTATAACAGACTTCCTATCATAGCCACACTTGTAATTACAGACTATCACTGTATATAAGTATTACATTTAGCAAGTACATTTTCATTTTTAGCATAATCCCTATTTGAACTTGGAATTGCATGAGAATTCAGACAAAGAAGAAACAATGCAAAACAAAGTACCAAAAAAATTAGTAATAGTTTTATGTTTGGAAAATGACTTCTAAAAGCAGTCACACATCACTGACATACTTGGCTTCGCAAGTCCTGAAAGAACGCCATGTCTGCATAGACAGCATCTGAAGATGGTGAAAGATAAGGGACACAATAAATAAATAGTTCAGAAACGTAAATTGGGTTGAATAATAAAAAAAATAACAATAAATATATTTATTTTGTACAGTCTAAATAGTTCAGATATGTAAATTGGGTTGAATAATAAAAAAATAATTCTGTGAAATAAAAGTAACTTACATATACAACTGAGTAAGTACCATTATATGCATACTAATGTTTCTGATCTAATTCCTTCGAATAAAAATTGCAATAAACAAATCACAGTTAGCTTTAATTAAATCCTTTGCCATTTTAACATCTTCAGACTTAAGCTGTTCAAACATGGTGCAATATGGTTTATTTGCTATATAATGTAAATTCTACTCTCTCTCTTTGAAAAGATAAGAAAGCTGCACACAATGCGGTGTCTTAGAATGCGCACATAAAAAATGGTGCCAAAATTAATTACTTGCATTTCAAACCAAATAAATTTTGGAACTACAGAATGTAAAATAATGGATTTGAGCCAAGTATTATTCAAACAACAGGCCTACATCAAACTATTCTTTACAAAGTAAATACACTTTTATTAACATCCTCAATGTATAGTTTCAGAACAGTGAAAAGCAAACACATAATTCTGATTTATCAATATTCTGACATCTGCAAACTAAAACAATCAGATACTGAATTGCTAGTATTTACTTTTGGCAAATTCAGCTAACGCTACTGCAGTTTTAGGTACCACATACATACCATCATTCAAACTCACATTACAAGAATTAAATAAAATGTTCAAAACTTAAACATAATTTCATTCAGGAATGCAGTAAAAAGTCAATATGAAGTGGATACCATATGTCATGGGCTACAGTCCAATTCAGAATTTGTTCATGAAAAAATAACATTTTAAACCGACAACTATTAAAAAAATAATCCATATAAATAAAGTTAATAAATTAAAATAAAACCCTCTTAAACAGCCAACATATTTAAGCTGACGAAAATAATATTACCAACAAACTATGCATCGGACTGTGCACATTTGTAATCATCGCAAAGCGCACATGCCAAACTGTTCTACTAATATATTAATAAATTTAGACAAAACTTAATGTGGTTTATAACTGTTTCATTAAACATAACTAAAGATCTATATGAAACAATAGCAATAATACACAAGAAGTTTTGTCCGAATTAAAACTCTCACACACACACACCATACATGAGAAGCATATTTCCAATATACACCAACAAGACTGGAATATGATTCACAATATACGAAACACAATAAATGCTGTGAGTAATGAAAATAATAGTTTATACTGGTAAGTTTTTGGAAACCTGTTCATATGCTTTGAAAAAATTCAACAAAATTTCTCACAGAGACAGAGGATAAATAATCTCAATTTTCATCCTACAAACTCTTGCACTCATGCTTTCTGTGATATTCATCGAAAAACTTCTCCTGTCACAGATTAGTACAAAAACTATCCGATATAATTAATCTCCACTTATTAGTGATAATCCAAACTGTGTTTATAACTAATATTAAACTGATACTGATTAATCAATTAATATTCTATTCTTATAATATAATGTAAACACAGTGGTTAAAGATAAGTTTATTAAATAATCACCAAGTTTCTTAGGTAATAGAGCTTAATAAACTAAGACTGGGAGCCACTTACACATGCATATGTACATATTTTAGAAACAATGAAGTAAAATACATAACTGGGAAATGTGATATTACGAAAAAAAAATTTATATAAGGCATAACTCGTTTAATTTCTCTCTCTTGGTAGGACTGAACACAATTCCATACTATTTCTTGAAAGCCAACAGGAGTAAAATCTATGAAGAGATTTAATAGCTCGAACAGACAACATTTTTGTCACATACCAATTTCTAGTATAACAGGCTATTTTTGAGAATATCTATTAAATCTAATCTCAGTTTTATGGGAGATAATATGGAACCAATACAAACCATAATTAAATTCTCCAGACAACTATTAATCCAGATTTCCAATACCAAATATATGAAACCTGTTCATCAGTTTGAAAGTTTAAAAGTTCACATATACAACCACCCACATACAACCCACTTCCTGCGCTTTGAGCAAAGAAAGTGCACGTAATCACACAATTTTGGAACTCTTAGTTAATCCTCATCTTACATCAAAATCAAGTAAGTATTTATCCATTTTCCTTCAGATCTCGATGGTAAAAACATGTAGCAAATAATTCATGAATAAAAAAACAGCTTGCACAATGAAATCTGGAAATAAATAGGCTTTAAATTGATTAGTATCATCTTACCAAGCCATTTGATATAGGAATTAAGAAGTGATACAACACCACGCACATCCCACACGTAAGGGTAGAGATCATACAAAAGCTCCCTGTTGGCACAGAACGTCAGTCTTCGAAAGAGACGATTCAGAGCAGAACTCATGTCTTCCAAACGAGCTGCTCGTTCCAGCCATTCAATAACCTAATAGTGTAATGAAATTTATAATTAATGCATCAGTTTCTTTGTATTTATAGTTTTCATTATATAAACTGGGCACTATCACACATGCACACTGAAATCTGTGCACAACAACATTATCATCACTGTGCATTCACCTGTAACAGGCAGGACTGTAAACAAACACTACATTCTGCTTACTGTCATATTATTTGTTTGTATTTACAACTTAAGCCACCAAAAAAGATTTTTTGCTTTGTTCACTCAACATGTTTCATCTACAATTTAGACATTGCTTTCTAAAAAGGTGTCATATATGGTGGCAGCATCTTCCCAACTATCATCTCTCACATCAACCACAGAGGAGCCAAATAAAGTGATTCAAATGCACAGAGAAAACAAGCAGATTACAACACTTACAGGAATAATGCGATTAAAGTTTGGCATGAATAGTTACCATTTTTATGTCAAGATCTAACTTCACAAATGTCCCAAATACAACATACAAACAAGTAAAAATAAGTCCATTTTCCAGTGTGTCAAAAGATTAACATTTAAAAGCAGCCTAAAACAGCAATAAGAAGACTGGAAAGAGATCCTCTTTGGTGGACTGGCATTCTTAACCCCAAATTATGCAAGTCATTGTTGTACCATAATACATTAAAATATCCCTCATTACCTCTGGTTTATTAGGTGCTTCCTGAGCTGCTGCTACATTCCTTTTTGTGCAGTTGGCATGCATAACAAGATGTGCATTACCCTTCAACCAATTGAATTCATGTAGCAGCTGCAATCCTTGGCCACCATGTTCAAATGGAAGATAGAACAGATCACATAACAAAGCTAGGTCCTCATGAGTAAGCTGCTCTATTTCCGTCCTGGAACATCAAGAATCACCTTGTAATCCATTTAAAGTTTGTCTGGGAAACAAAGGATTTTGAACACTAGGGTCAAGAACACTTTAAAAAGAGGAAATTCAACATTAAGATAATTCAATCATAATCATAACAATTTAACCTCAAATTAGGAAATACTAAATCCAAAGAAACTTACATTAAGTGGAAGTTCCAACACAACTGAAAGTAAAACATGCCAACTGATATTTGGTTTACTTAATCTTTTAAGAAGAATTTCGTACATCATTCTTGATTACAAATATGTCCTCCTCCGATAGTGCCAAATTTATTTCACAAATGACCACACACTGAGTACAAATATGGCCATAACTAACTAGATGGCTTACCAAACCCGAAGGTTCATCACTGAACTAACCAAAGCCCTCCACCAGACCCTGTCCTGGGCCAACAAAATCCAGTCTCCTCCAACTCCTATCGCCCATAGATCCCGCCTGACATTATCCTCCCTTCTACGTCTAGGTCTCCCCAGCGGTCTCTTCCCCTCAGGCTTCCCAACCAATACCTGGTGCACACCTCTTGTCCCATCCATGCACGCTACATACCCCGCCCATGTCATTCTTTTTTACTTAATCACCCCGATAATACTGGGGGAGGAGTACAGATTTTTAAGCTTATCATTATGCAGTTTCCTCTAAGTCCCATCGTCTTCTCTCCTAGGCCCAAATATCCTCCTCAACACCCTATTCAAATATGGCCATAATCCTCACAATGACAAACAAACAAGTTGTTTTAACTGCATACGTTATTCAATTTCAAAAGACGGGATGATGGTCATCATGAATAGTTAGTAGCTGCAGATTTGAAAGAAAGCTGTAACAGCGTATCTGAATGTTCTAGCAACACCTGAGTGAAGAAGATAGAATAACTCGTGGCACAGCAAATATTCAACATTTGCATTAGAGCAATATGCTTGCCATTGTTAAAGGAAGTGTTGGCTTCTCACCCAAATCTTTCATCCCTAAGAACAGAGCTCCAGGTACCCAACAAATAGGAGGTGAGGTTAGGCTAGGTTAGGCAAGGTTTCCTTACTTCATGAAATACAGCTTCCTAACCTTTCCTGCAGGCTGGTATTGCCAACATTTGTACATTCCACTATCATCGTACTTGAAGTGCAGTTATTGGTGGGATGAACCTGTTCGCCATGCATACTTGTCCCTGTTACAGCTGTGGAAGACACAGTCTCAGCCATGGAGACATCTTCACCCCCCTCTAAAGAGCTCTTGGTTATATGTGTGGGAGATGAATAAGGCGGTGTCTGGTTACAATCCATAGGTTCAGATGAAGAGATATTAGTAGTACTTGTGCCACTGATAATGGGAGGGTTTGAAGCTGCACTAGAATCCTTGCATATGACCTGTAACAGTATACATTTAAGTGTCCATGGGCAAACATTAAATTTATTGGTGGTGAGTACAACTTGTTCATAAAATTATTATTTAGTAATTAACCATGGTAAAGATAATGTGGGTTAACTGAACCTATGGCATAATCCAACTTCAGCAACAAAGCTTGAATATCCATTCCTTAAATAAACTGTCATCTTCTTCACTATAAACCATTTGCTGAATCACTTCTCATAATGCATCCTTATAAAATTACAAAAGAAAAAAACACATCATGTCAGCTACATGTATTCATTCATCCAATAACATGACACAGAGCTACAAACCTTAGTTTCAGAGACTAATGAGTTCATAACTGCACCAGGGCCTGGCTGTATCATACTATCTGTGTTATTGCTGGTTACCTGTTGACAATGAAAAGTAATATTACAACTTTTCACAAACTATTTCTCCTACAGCAAATCCATCTCAGAATATAAATGTGTTTGACTGTATTAACATATGACATTAGTTTTCTGAAATGAGTGTTTTAAAAGGAGTAGTACAGGGATGCCACTCTTAGCCAGTAAGTCTCAAATAATTGTTTCATTACTGATTTTTACCCATTTCATTACATCCATAACAACAAAGAAAGAGAAAACAGTTACTATTAAATCCATGGTTTGAAATGCTGGAAGTGTGGTAAGCAGGAAGTCAGAAAATGTCACTGTTCATACAGAACTCACAAAACAGTTTGAAAACCTATGCTTTTTATACCACCTACTACAAAAAAATTTTGCCCAAAATACATAAAATGAAATTGAAGACATCTGAGGTTCTCAAGACAAGTATGAAGATTATTGGTGGATAATAAGGAACATTTCAGAGGAGTTTATTGTCTCCATCAGTGGTGTTAACCTGATGATGGAGACAGTAAGCTCATCTAAAACATCTGTTAATAACTACCAGACTACATGGTGCTACACCCCAGAAGACAGCCACCTTCAATACAAATGTTCCTTGTGCTGCTCTCAAAACAACAAAATACAAGACGAGAATTAAAAAGTTGAAATAATGTGCAGCAGTAGACATGTCACTGTGTATATCAAGCAGTACTCTGGAGCAATACAGATGGATGACATAGATTCTTATTGCTAAGTAACTTCTGATTAATTCTGGCATCAATGTTCCCTATCTCTGCTATATTAAGCATACCATAAAAAATTAATACACTTAATAGCTACTTACCGAGCTGCAGACTTCTGCCAAGGCTTGCAACTGATTGGAATTAACAACTGGAATACTGCCAGATGAGCAGCTGGTAGTGGTTGTTGTCAGACTCATACAAGTGTTAATAGATGAAATGATAGGAAGAGGAATTGCAGCAGCAACCAACTGCTGAGGTTTGGCAATGGGTCCCCAGGCTGCTTTCGGCCTACCAAACTCCTCTAACCACTCATTTATGGCATTTCGAAGGGCACGCCGAGGATGGTACATGTTGGGGGAGAGGGTAGAAGGTACATCCTCTCCAACCCCTCCATCCTCAGTCTCTGTCTCAAGTTTGATATCAGCACTCACTGAATCATCTGTAGGACAGAAAATTTCTTAATGAGCTCTGTTATTGATGCTTTAAGATCTTCAATAAATGCACCAATAATTAACCTTCTAATCTTCAAATGTCTGTATGATGGCTGATATGTTCTTTGCTTTAATACTCATGATGAAGCCATATCATAACGATGAATTGTAAATTAATAAAATAGTTACAAGAAAACAATAAATAATCCATTTTTGTGTATAATTTCAAGTATTACGCATTCCCATTATATTAAATTTGTGAGCTGTAAATCCAATTTCATAAAGTCATAATATTTTTTATTCATCTCCTTCCTAAGATATTCCCAGTCAACTGGCAAACAAACCTCTCAACTACGTCTGTCTTACCACAGCTTTCTTCTTCAATTTATTCCCGTGTTCTTCTTTACTTTTATATTACATCTATACTAACATGTTACCATCTTTATATCAGTCACCTCCTCTGACATTTTTCTTTACTTTCATGTTAAATACCTCTGCTGGCATTCCCTCTTCAACATTCTTAAAACACTACTATAGTATGACAAATCAAAGTCGATAGAAATTAACCTTTTTCATGTTATACAGTAACATGATTTACTGCAGTGTTATAGTAAAATCCCCAATTCAAGGTTTGCTTTTTCATGTTATACAGTAACATGATTGACTGCAGTGTTATAGTAAAACCCCCAATTCAAGGTTTTCCTGGGAAACAAGCATTCTGTGCCTCAAATCAAGAAAAACCTTAAATAGGGATAATATGAAAATAAACCACCACAGTGGTCTAGTGGTTAGAACACTGGGCTCGTAATACTGCGGTCCCGGGTTCGATTCCCGGCAGTGCTCAGATATA